CCCCCCCGCCCCTGTCGCACGCCTCAGCGTTTGGGCTCTACGCCTTTGTGTCTGCCGTGATGGGCGGCCCCGCGCTGCTGCTGGGGCTCGCCTCCATCGAGGCCGTACCTCCATTTGACAGGCCCTGGATGGTGGGATTCAAGCACCGGCCAGAAACACCACGTTGCTTGCGGCTTGAGCGCAGAACTTGCTGTGTTTGGTGGGGCGTCCTTGCTGCGGCAGCTGTTCAGCGGGAGAGTGTGGGGGCCTGGCGGCCGCTCTGTGTCGAGAGGCGCTGATGCTGATGCATCCAGATGCAGGCAACCCTGAGCACGCCGCTCACACGATCCCCGTCCGCAACCCTGCGACGATACACCCCCGCGGTGGCCGGCCAGGCGACATCCCTGGCTGACTTCTGGGGCCGCCGCTGGGTGAGCGCGAGCGCTGGGGCGGCCGCGGTTCGCGCTCTGGCGCTTTTGCGCACGACGCCCCGCAGGCAAGAGAGCATGAACAGGGTATGAATCCGAACACCCACCTGCCCACCCCTTCGTGGCAGTTTGCGCACGACATACTTTACTGTAAACGACAAGCTCTGATGTAAACCTCCACACGCCCCATCGTGTCCCAAAGCCCTCTGCCCAACCTACTTTAAACCATTCAGATCGGAATCACACTCACATCCACCCTTTTTTGCCCATTCTGGACCCCCTCAGAACAACACCATCGGCCAAAACCTGCGGTGCCTCTTCTATGACCCGGTCGTCGAGGGCCGTTTGGTGATACCCCTTGATAAGTGTGCCAGCCGCAGCGGCAGCGGCAGCGGCGACCCAGCAGCTGCCGCGCCACATGCGGCCGACAATGGCAGCGGCGGCGGCGGCGGCGGCGGCGCGGACGGCGCCGAGCGGCAGGGCGTGTGGCGGCGGCGCACGCTGGGGACTGCCCTCACGTTTGCGGCCAGCGGTGTGCTGCACGAGCTGCTTTGTTGGTACGTGTCGCGCCCCTACTCCTGGGGCATCTTCAACTTCTTCATGCTACAGGTTTGGGGGGGGGGGAGGCTAGCAAACCTACGAATCAAAGGTTCACCTGTGGTGGGGTTCCCCAGGGTCTGACGACTGTGGGGTGTTGGGCGGCCACTGGGTGCAGCCCGTGTGTCCCCCCGCAGCATCGGGCCGCGGGGGCTTCCGCCGCGGCACGCCGGCCACCGACCTTGGCACCGCACGCCGCGGAGGCGCGACCCCGCACTGTGCATGCCAGTTCCATTCAAAAGCACCTGCGTCCCAAATCCAATCCATCAAAGGCGCCCCTGTGCCTGGCAGAGGCGGCTGCCCTGAGGTGGCTGCGCTCGCGCGGCGTCCAGCCGCCCCGCTTGGTGCGGGTCGCGGCGGTCCAGGTCACCCTGCTGCTAACCGCCCACTGGCTGTTTTACCCGCCGCTGGACGCCGCCGACACGAACGGCAAGTTCACGGCGGC